GAGTAGAGAACACTGTCAGCCAGGATCTACCCAAGTTGGATATTTTGGGGTAGGTTGGACAGAGGAAGAGATAAGTAATATATTTTTACTCATCAACAAATCAGCATGCCCTGCTAGAATGTGGTATTCAGAAGTATTGTTCTCTTAAAGATTTATTTATTAATTTGAAAGGAAGAGTGACAGAGAGGGAGACACACACACACACACACAGAGCAAGAGTGAGAGCAAGAGGTGGGGGGGTCTTCCATCTGCTGTTTCACTCTCCAAATGGCTAAAACAGCCAGGTGTGGGCCAGGCCAAAGCCAGGAGGCAGGAACTGCATTCTATTCTCCCACATGGGTTTCAGGGACTCATGTACGTAGGTCATCTTCCAGTGCCTTCCCAGGCACATTAGCAGGGAGCTGGATCAGAAGCAGAACAGCTGTATCTCAAACTGGCCCCCGGGTATGGGCTTAACATGCTGCACCACAACGCTGGCCCTTCAGAAGAATTCTTGGACTAAGATGAGGTTTAGGAGAAAAGAGTGAGTGATTAGCAAAGTAATCTGTTGGACATAGTACCAAGTGATGGCACCAGTGCCATCCATTTTGCCAATCATATTAGAATACAGGACTCTTACTTTGTATAATTGGGTAAGACAGAGTGCAGGCGGGTAGTGATCTGCTGAAAATCAACAGCTTTAAATAAGGTCTTTTGACACACAGTTTAGTTTTCTTTTCACTTTTCAATGTCCCTTCCCAGTAACAGATTCCAGGCACCTGAATCACAAGACATAAAGCAGCAAATATAGGCCTGGGTGATTCTCCTTCCTGCTTCTATGCCTGTGATACCTTAAAAAAAAAAGATTTGTTTGTTAGAAACTCAGAGTTACAGAGAGAGGGAGGGAGGAGAGAGAGATCTTCCATCTACTAGTACACACTCCAAGTGGCTGCAATGGTGGGGGCTAGGACTGGCCAAAGTCAGGAGCCAGGAGCTTCATCATCCAGGTCTCTTGGGTGGTGGCAGGGGCCCAAGCACTTAGGCTATCCTCCACCACCCTTCCAGGCACATCAACATGGAGCTGAATGAATCAAGTGGAGCAGTTGGGACACAAACCGGCTGCCCACATGGGATGCCAGCGTCACAGGCAGCTGCTTAACCCACTGTGTCACAACACTAGCCCAATAGATATATTTTGCTAAGGACAACACTCTTCTAAGGTCATGGGAATGCTTGTGGAGGACAGATTCCATATTGACATGGTTCATGAGAACCTGAGGAGAAAGATTCTAGACCTATAACTGGTGTGTATCAGGAGTGCCAGAGAGTTCAGCAAAGCTGGGCTCAAAATGTAAGTTGTATATGCAAGCTGATCCAGAAATGCATCGTGCATGAGCAAGTGGGAAGGCTGCAGACATGACTGCTTTGTGTCATGGATGTCTCCTTGCAACAACACCGACTTCTTATGGAGTCTACTAAGGAACTGCTTCTCACAACACTGTTGCAGATTGTATCACACAATTTCCATTTAGCATTTTTTAACTTATTTTGTTGTAGCTGGAACATACTACTTTAGTTACAGTGTTGTGGAAATATAACTTGACCTCATCCAGAACATTATGCAATTGGAATGCATACAACATATTAGGACAGTACTGATAAAACAGTACACTTTGATCCTTCTACTCTTCAGAGAGCACTTGGCATTGTCTAATGCAAGGTAGGTTCAGAAAAAAAGCAGGGCACTTCTAGGGTATGATTTAAAGGTAGGGGTACAAGCCTATGGTACTCTGGAGCCTAGGGTGGCTCACTGAGAACAGGATTCAGATTCATCCAGTAGAGAAGCTGAGAATAGAGCTTGGTCACAGGGAAGGAAAATACCATGCATGAGCAACTGTGAACTCCCCCTAAAACAATAATGGTTTTTCCCTCTCCTACAGTTCTGAGGAGATAAAGGAGGTGGGATTAGGTATGAAAGTTATTTATGTAAAACAAGTGGCCCAGTGCATTGACTCATTTATTGGTTCACTGAGTACCTAGTGCTACAAAGTATTCTGTTAATACCACAGAAGATACAAAGATAAAATAGATATAGATTCTGGATTTTTTTTTTTTTTTTGACAGGCAGAGTAGACAGAGAGAGAGACAGAGAGAAAGGTCTTCCTTTGCTGTTGGTTCACCCTTCAATGGCTACCACGGCTGGTGCGCTGTGGCCGGCGCACCGCGCTGATCCGAAGGCAGGAGCCAGGTACTTCTCCTGGTCTCCCATGGGGTGCAGGGCCCATACTTGGGCCATCATCCACTGTACTCCCTGGCCCAGCGCCCCAACCGGGACTAGAACCCGGTATGCTGGCACCGCAAGGCGGAGGATTAGCCTAGTGAGCCGTGGCGCTGGCCCAGATTCTGTTTTCAAAGCAGGAACCCCACCAACCTCCCTTAACACAGTAGGATTTGAGAACATGGGCCTAATGGGTTAGAAACCTAAATATTGGGCAGAAACACCCAAACAGGGGCTCACTGGGCTTAATCATCAGAAGTGGGACATATCACTACAACTACCTCCACAAACAGCAGATATCAAAACTGTTAACAATCTCTCTCTTGATATCATTATTATTGGAAAATTTGTGAATTGCTAAATCATTTAGGCACATTACTGTACTGTTAGGAAACTGTCCCTAGTAGTGAAATTCCTTTCATCAGCTCCACTTTCAGATTGGCAGTATAGGCTTGTCCTCAACAAGTGTTCTTTTCAGAGAGAGATGCAGCAGATGTAGCAAAACAGAAACATGATATTCTTGGAAGTGCATTAGTTTGGATAGTATCTAAACTTTCCTCTCTTGTTCTGGGATTTTATTCTTCTAATAATTTCTCTGCCCATTTTAAATTTTCAGGCAGGTTGATATAATTTATTCTCAAGTCATCATAAATCAGTAAATTCTTGTTTCTTAGGCTGTGCATTTTGTGTTTAGAGCTGTTGATTTCTATTTCCCCTAATCTTTTTCTGGCTTAGAATATCTCAGTGCTTCCCACTGGGTTTTTCTAAATACAAGCAACTTGTTTTTCAACATGTAATCTGAACCCAACCACCTCTCAAAACCCTACAATATCTGGTAAGTGCCAGTGTATGGGAACACAGCAGAAAAGAAACAGAGGAAATAAAATGGGTTTTGGGAGGCTGGCGCTGTAATTAGTAGGTTAAGCCCCCACCTGCAGTGCCAGCATTCCCATATGGGCACCAGTTCGTGTTCCAGCTGCTTCTCTTCTGAACCAGCTCTCTGCTATGGCCCGGGAAAGCAGTGGAAGATGGCCCAAGTGCTTGGGCCCCAGCATCCACATGGGAGACCCAGAAGAAGCTCCTGGCTCTTGACTCCTGGCTTTGGATTGGCCCAACTCCAGACATCATGGCCATTTGGAGAGTGAACCAGTGGATGAAAGAACTCTCAACTTCTCTCTCTGCCTCTGCCTCTCTGTAACTCTGCTTTTCAAATAAATTAATTAAAAAAAAATCCTAAAATAGGTTTTGGAGGTGATCCAATCAGATGCCATGTGAGACTCTGCTATACCCCGTGTAACTTAATCTTACTCAGCTTCAGTTTACTTACCTGCGAACTGGGGACAAAATGCACAACTGGCAGTTATTGTGAATATCAAGCACAACATTTGAAAGCAGAAAGCAAAGCAACTATGTAATAGGTACTCCTTAACCACCAATTTCCCTTTGCTTCCAAGAGGGCTTTTACCTAGGATGATAAAATTTATCCTAGAGGATAAAATTCAGGATTCAGGATAAAAATCGCTTAAACATGTAAGCAGTTGCAGATGCAAAGGAATCGGGCCCCAAGCGACTCTGCTGACACTCTGACATACACAGAAGATCTGGCATTTCCCCTTTTTCTTTCTCACAGAAAGCAAGCACCCAGCATTAGGGAAAATAAAAATCTGGATAAAAAACAGACACAATTTCATCATCCTAGTACCACGAGCGTTTCATTTTTGTCACGGTCTGTCTTTTCGGTAAGACGGTCACATTCTTTCCACAGTTGCAATCAGAGTGCGTGTACTTTGGCATCATCTCTGGTAAGGTACGGCTAGATTTATTCCAGGTGATAGTGGGAAGCAGTTAACGAAGAAGGAGTGGAGAGCTGCGGGGGTGGCAGGTTCACTTCTAATACTGTTCAAACCTTTCTCCGGCACAGAAACTCCGCAGAGAACTCCCGTGCAGTAGAGTTACCCAGGGCTGTTTCTTTAAATCGTTTGACGTCAGAGAAGGACTGCTATAGCAACCGTCTGTCAAACTGGAATTAACTCAAAAGGAAGAGGGGGGTGGGGAGAGGAAAAATGCTCCCAGGCGGTTCTGACTTCAGAGGAAGCAAATTGGATAGATGCATTTATTTTATGACATTTTAAACATAAAAGACCTCCAGAGAAATGTGGGAAAAGTGGATTGAGATGTATGTGGTGTTTAATTCATGCAGAGAAGAGAGACTTGGCAGGGTCATCTGGAAGGCCTTCCAGTTTCATGAGAGGCAGTAGTGTAACAATGACTCCCAAGTGTTGGGCATTTACTGGGAGGCGGGCTCCGGGCGAACCCGACTTCACGTTTTTGGCACCTTCAATGAGGCAGGTGTCACTCCCTATTTGTCGATGACGGCATCTGGGCCCCGAGACGGTCACACTAGCGATGTGAGAGCCGGTTCTGGCCTGTAGTTCACTTTCGTGCGCGTGGAAAGGCAGCATGTCGGTCCTAGCGGGACGGTGGGGGCCCCAGCTCGACCCTACGCTCCTGCCCACGAGCACACCGACGTCTGCGCGGTGCCGGGAAGGAAAGCGGCCCCACCGCTTCGCCGGGCGCCGCACCGACAAGAAAACGAAACTGCCCGGGAATTAAAAAGTCCTTCTCCTTCTAGCAGGAAACGAGAGAGAAAATAGGAAGCAGAAGCTGCGCGCGGCGCCCGCTCCCTGCGGCCCCCCGCCCCCTGCCCGGGCCGCGCGCTCCAGGGCATGCGCAGGCTCGCGGCGCGTCCCCGCCGGGCCCGCGCGCCTCGTGCCTCGCGCCTAGAGCCTCGCGCCTCGCGCCACGTCCCCGCCCCGGCCCCGGCGCGCCGCGGAGTTGGCTGCCCGGCTGGCGGACCTGGGTGTGGTCGGCAGCGCTGAGATCGGCGGTGCGCTGCGCTCTGCACGCCGGCTCCTTGCTCGAGGGGCGGCTGAACGCCGGGAGGACCCACGCAGCCTCAGGTGACGCGGATCCGAGCTCCCTCCAGGTGGGCGGCGAGCGCGCCCCGTGAGGGGATCCCAGGCTGCCCAAGGGGGCGTGGGGGGCGCCGTGGGGCTGCCTCGGCGCAACCCGGCCCAGGTGGGCTCGGGGACGGAGGCTCCGGGGACCGGCGCTGCCCTGGAGGGACGGGACGGGCGCGCCTCGGCGGCGCTCTGCTGCGGCGCCGGGACCGGCCCTCGAGGGGTCGCGGTCTCGAGCACTTCCTGGGCGGCTGGGACGCTCGCTCCGGGGAGCCAGGGCGCAGGCTGCCGTCGGAGTCCTCCAGACCCCGGGTTCGTCTCCACGACTCATAGGCCTCCCCCTTGGAGGGACCCAGTTCGAGCTCCTGCTAGCCCCGAAAATAGCGGTTATTCGGGGCCGCCCGGGAGAGGTGCTGGGCGCAGAGCGCCGGGAACGCGCTGAAAAGTTCTCCAGTGAGTGCGAAAACGGGTCCAGCGGTTTCTCGTCTGATGCCCAGCGGTGAGGGTTGGGTGGAATTAATGGGTTAGTTGTATTTGCAAGTTCACGAGGGGAGAAAGTGTCTTTTGTCTCTACAGTCTGCTTCAAAACGCAAATGGTCGCCTTATCCTTTGATGTTTATTGCTATTCGGTGAGGAAAGATTGAGTTTCCAGAAGTTTAAGACCAGGCTCTCATTGTCGATGCGAGCAGAAAGAAAGGCTTTGTGATTGTTGCCTCTCCTGCCTCCTCTCCCACTCCTTCCCCCTCTCGTTCTGTAAAGGGCGAGGGTGTATTTTTCTCCTCCCCAGTCGCTGGGCGTGTGCAGCAGCACCCTGCCGGGCAGTTTTCTTAAGACCTTGGAAACGTAATCGCGGATGCGAACTTTTATCGTCAGTGCTTCTCAGTGGTGGTGACCTTTAAGTACGTCTCCGAGGAGGGAGACCAAGCTCGTGAGGCTTAGGGTTCAAGATGCGGGGATGCCGTTTCTAGTTGGCAGGGAAGCCAGGGACTGTGTCCATTTAAAATTGTGTGCTGGGGAGTCTCTGCCACAGCACTTCTCCCCACTCTTACTGTGTGGGGCTTTCTGTTGATCCCTGATGCGAGGCTGGAAGTCGATGGAGTAGTTCAGTGTTTGGTTCTAGATCACCTTCAGATTTGCGTTTTGTTGTGTTTTGTAGACAAATTTGAAACTGAAATAGAAACTTTAAACATACCGTCTTATTGAACGTTGGCAACCTTTTTGTGTATGCACTTGAACAAAATTCCAAAACGCTAGCCATACACTTGGATTTCCCCTTCTGTGAGCCTGCAGACATTATTTAGGACATTATTCCAAGTCATTGGTCTCTGGTAACCTGTAAGGTTTGTTTCTTTCACATCATTGACGCTAAAGTATGTCAGCACATATTTTTACACTTTAAAAATAGACTCCGGGGCAATTTCAGAATTGAGAATTGGAACGAAGTGTTGGGCGTTTTTCTGCCCTTTACCAGATAACCGCCTGAGATGATGGGATTCCTCTGATTTCTTTCAGGTGTGTCACTGAAGTCAGCTGCCTGTGTTGTGCTTTACCTGGCTAATTTAATCTGTGTTTATTATGTGAGTTGTTTAGTTTTAAAGATGTATTTATTTGAAAGGCAGAGTTGTGGAGAGAAGAGAGGTGGGTGGGAGGGAGGGAGAAAGAAAGATCTTCTGTCTACTGGTTCACTACCAAATGCCTGCAATGGTTGCGGCTGTGCCAGGCTGAACCCATGGACTCCATAGAAGTCTCCCACATGGTTGACAGGGGCCCAAGCACCTGGGCCATCTTCTGCTGCTTTCTCAGGCACAGAAGCAGAGAGCTGGGTTCTGGAAGTAAAGCTCTGGTACTCATATGGGACATCAGCATCACAGGCACCAGCTTAACCCACTGCACCACAGTGCTGGCCCCAGGAATTATTTTTTAAGTGTCTGTCTTGAGCCAGAAGCAATGCTATACATTATTCTATTTCTATTTCTTAGTAACCTGACAGAGGAGGCATTTTCCACTTCTACGGGTAAGGACAAAAGATGACACAAGATGTGAAGTAACTTAACTAGGACTCAAGGCATGACCTCTCTGTCTCTGAAATCCAAGTTCTTTCCTCTGTGCCACATTAACTTAATGTCAGGGCATGAGGAGTAACCCGCAGTTACTCACCAGCTTATATGTAAGATTTCCACGATGTGCCAGAGACTTGTGTGTGCTTTCCCGACACGATCAGTGCTGTCATTCTGTGTTATTGTACACATCCTCACATCAGCCCTGGTCCTCTCCCTCACCTGGTTAAATGTCTCCTTCAAAATTCACATCACTGTCTTGCCAGGGCAGAACTTGTCCTGTTGACACTAGTAGGTAGTGGACTGACTGACTCTCCCAGAAGAGCCTCCGTTTAAGGTGCGTTTTCTGGAGGCAGATGTAACTCATTTGGAAGGTTACAGACAGGATGATGGTCTACTTTGTGGTACAGGAACCCTTTGATATTCCTACTAATTCCTAATATGTATTTTCTAATTTTTATTTATTTGAAAGGCAGAAAGAGATCTCCCATTCACTTTCTACTTCCCTAGATAACTGCAATAACCAAGGCTGGGCCAGGCCAGAGCCAGAAGCTAACAACTCAGTGTATGTCTTTCATGTATGAGGCAGGGACCCAGGGGTTTGAGCCATCACCTGCTGCCTCTCCCTAGGAGTTCATTAGCAGGAAGCTGGAGTCTGGAGCCAAAACTTGAATCCTGCCACTCTGATATGGAATGTGGGCATCCCAAGCAGCAACTTAACTGCTACACCAAATGCCTTCCCCTAGAAGATATTTTTTTTTAAGGTTTTGTTTATTTATTTGAGAAGTAGAGTTACAGAGAGAGGGAGAGACAGAGTTCTTCCACCCACTGGTTCATTCCCCAAAGGGCCGAAATGACCAAAGCTGGGCTGATCCGAAACCAGAGCCAAGAGCTTCTTCCAGGTCTCCCATGTGGGTACAGGGCCTGAGCAGTTGGACCATCTTTTACTGCTTTCCCAGAGCACAGCAGAAAGCTGGATCAGAAGAGGAGCAGCTGGGGGTTGGCGCTATGGCATAGCAGGTAAAGCTGCAGCCTACAGTGCTGGCATCCCATATGGGCATCAGTTTGAGTATCAGCTGCTCCACTTCCAATCCAACTCTCTGCTAATGTGCCTGGGAAAGCAGTGGAAGATGGTCCAAGTGCTTGGGCCCCTGCCTGCACATGGGAGACCTGGAAGAAGCTCCTGGCTTCAGATCAGCCCAGCTTCAGCTATTGCTGCCATTTGGGGAGTGAACCAGACGATGAAAGACTGTCTCTCTCTCTCTCTGCCTCTACCTCCCTCTCTCTAACTCTGCCTTTCAAATAAATAAATAAATAAATCAAGAAAGAAAAAGAGGAGGAGCAGCCAGGATTTGCACCAGCACCCATATGGGATGCCAGCGCTGCAGGTGGAGACTTAGCCTACTATGCCACAGCACTGACACCCCCCCCCCGAAGATATTTTGATCAATAATTTCCCCCACAATTGTCCCCTTTGTCCCTAATTTTCAATTTGTCACTTTCTGTGGAATCATTTACACTATTATACAATTATACAAACATTGTATCTTCCATCTTAATATGAAATTTTTTCTTGATCTAGTGTTTTATTTCAGTGACTGCCTCATTTCTGTGTTTCACTCTAAGAAAGCTTAATTTTTGACAGAATAAAAATAAATAAAGGAGGGATAACTAGAAACTAATAATTACCTGGTGGGAATTGAATAAAGTGAGATAGCAGAAGGAATGATGTTGCTTTGAATATATCTTTTTATATAGTTTTGAGTTTTGGAAACTTATCTTTCATATGCTAAAATATAAAGTTAACAAGATTGGGGAGAAGCTTAACAGTTGAATACAAATAACAACAAATGTCTGTATTTTCAATGAATAACATAAATTTCCAAAAGAAAATAAAAATTAAAGTAAGTTTTGAACAGAGCATTTTTTTGTTAAGATTTATTTATTTGAATGACAGAGTTACAGAGAGAGGTAGAGACAGAGAGAAAGGTCTTCCATCGCTGGTTCATTCCTCAGATGGCCGCAACAGCCATCTTCTACTTTCCCAGGCCATAGCAGAGAGCTGGATCAGAATAGGAGCAGCTGGGACTAGAACCGGCACCCATATGGGATGCTGGTGCTTCAGGCCAGGGCTTTAACCCGCTGCGCCACAGTACCGGCTCCAAGCAGAGCACTTTGATGGTATGCCCTTAATGTAGAGAGAAAAAGAACTAAAAAAATAATAATAAAAATAAAAACTTGAACTCTGTAGTAGGCTCTTGTAAATGTGTAGAAATTCTGAAACTATTTTATGTGTATTGCACCATTTAGTGAATGAGAAAGTTCACTATCTTGAGAGCTAGAATTTTTACTTTGGGAGGAAGAGAAATAAAAAGATAAGGGATTGCTATTGTGATACAGCAGGTTAAGCCATAGCTTAAGATACCAGCATTCCATATCAGAATACTAGTTTCAATTCCTGGCTCCTTTACTTCCAATCCAGTTTCCTGCTAACAAGCCTGGGAAACCAGAGAAGCTGACCCAGGTATTTGGACTCCTGCCACCCATGTAGGAGACCCTGGTGGAGTTCCTGGCTCCTGGCTTAAGCCTGGCCCAGCCCTGGGCTGTTGTGGTCATTTGTGGAGTGACTCACTAGATGGAAGATATCTCTCTTTGTCTCTCTGTTGTCCCTCCTTTTTTTTTTTTTTTTAAGGTTTATTTTATTTATTTGAAAGAGTTACAAAGAGAGGTAGAGAAAGAGAGACAAAGGTCTTTCATCCACTGGTTCACTCCCCAAATGGCTGCAATGGCCAGAGCTGAGCCTATCTTAAGCCAGGAGCTTCTTCTAGATCTCCCACGTGGGTGCAGGGGCCCAGGGACTTGGGCCATCCTCTGCTGCTTTCCTAGGCAAACTAACAGGTAGCTGGATCAGAAGTAGAGCAGCTGGGACTCAAATTGGCACCCATATGGGATGCTGGTGCAGCAGCTGG